CAGGTGACATCGCCAGATGGCCAGAGCTACGCACGTAACCGCCATCACCTTCGTGTGAGAATCGACTCCAGAGAGTCCAAGCCCAACCGGAAAGATGACCCGAGGAAACCCCGACTGACGGCTGAGGACTACTATCCTCTAGACTCCTCGCCCAATGCCAGCACCTCCCTTCGTCAGTCCAATGCAACAGACTCGCCACCACAAGCTCAACCCCGCCAGACTCGCTCAGGAAGACCTGTGAAGATTCCGTCAAGGTTCTTGTACTAAACCCAGTCGGACATTTTATTTTTGTGTATTTGTCTCTTGTGTGGCGGCATGTTATATATATATCGACATGTTAGTGGCGCCCTCTTAGTGGCGGTTTGCCCTCGTGAATAAAAGGCAGGCCTAGCTGTGTGGGACACACACATGGCGGCCCGTCTGAATCCATGGGTCTGGGTCTGATTCAATCGATAACAATCAATATATAACAGATGTGTCAGTGCCCCTCTAAGGGTGAACGGATTATTGGGCAGGAGGACAGACCGTGACGCTTCAAACGGTTAACTTTAGAACTGCACGGATGAGGGCAACAAATGCAATGACTCGGCGCTCGGCCCACATAACCGAACGCGGCGTCAGCGTTCGGCTGGAGTTTGTGTTCTGCGGTGAGGGGGAGGAGGGCTCTTTCGTTATCATTCCGGCCTGCATGAACAATGCAGCATGCACAGTGCCCAGCTCAGCACAAAAGCCCAAGTGAGTCAAGCTCACATCCTCTGACGACTGCTTTCCGGATAGATCCAGCACTTAATTAACGTCACTTCGTCGATTGTTAGTATTTTGTACATTACGCTGTGCCCGCGCTCTATTGTAGAAGATGACATGGACATGCCCATAAGGCAGGCACGTAGCCAGGGAGGGGGGGGGGGGGGGGGGGTGGGCATGGCGCCCGCCCCCCCCCCCCCCCAGTCTTCCATTTTGCTGGGACCGTCCTCTTCCCTTCATACAGCATTTTGTCATGGGCGGGCCTTCCCCGCCCCCTCCCCCCCCCCCCCCCCCCCCCGAAACAAAGCCCTGGCAACGTGTATCTGTACAGGCCTTGTGTTGAGTAAGCACCGAGGTGTGGGGAAACAAGCGAGTTCCAACCGTTCCATTAGGGTCATAGCAGAGAGGGTAAAAGAAAAAAAAAATGCACTCCCCCTCTCAAACCGCACGTCGTCCGCTCCGCCGAGTGGGCTGTTGCTAGCGTCCGGCTGGCGTGCAAACTCTGTTTAAAATCGCGTCATTTTGGAACTTTCAAGCGCAGATGCGCAGATTTTGGTATGCCAGTTGTCGTGTATTACTATGCTAAATAAAAAAGACTAACAGAGTCCAATTGCTCTGTTACCTGTGTGCAAATAAAAAAAAAAAAAAAAATAGGGAAAACTGTGTCAGATTGGCCGGTCTCTTTGGCGAAAAGTAAATCTGGTTGCTGTATCTTTTTTACTTTACAAAAGTTCGTACTGGTGTAGGCCTTTAGCGACCATGAGTGGAAGTCTGAAATAAAAAATAAAACATGCTCTCCTGCCGCAATACAAGCAATAGTTGAGGGTAGTACTGCCGGCTGACTCAGCTGCTATTTAAGTAACGGAAAAAAGATATGCTAGTTGATCATTTAGCAAAATAGAATAACAGAGAGCTATAGGCTGATTTTGGAGTAGCCTCAACGAATTCGCGTGGTTCTTTCCGCGCGCTCTCGAGCGCTCTTTCCAGAGCGCGCGAGATCGGGTGGTTGAAAGAGAGTGCTGTGGCCTGATCGGGTGGTTCATTCCGAGGGCGCACCTCCCTCTCAGAGCGCTCCCTGGCACTCTGTCTGTAGCCGGCGGAGTGCGGAGCGGCGCAGGCGTCACGTGGTACTTGGACGGGGATCACGTGGTTTTGTTGACGATGGCCGGCAGTGGTCGGTGGTGGTGTGCGGGGTACGGCATGACGGCGATTGACATGTGGTTCTACAAAGTGCTTGTGAATTTGACGGTGCGAGGATTACGACGGACGGAACGACATTCCTTTGCGACCGTAACAGGAAAAGTCGACGTTAGAAGTATTCCCAGTGCTTTCACGAGATCATTGATCTCACGGCGGTGAATCCGCTAAGCCTAACCGACGAAGAAACAGGTCGCAGAGCTCGCCGCTGTTTTACCGGGTTTTGTGGTCGCTTCAAGAAATTTTCAGGTTTGGTAAAAGTGCGTTCAAAGGTGTGTGTTGTAAAATAAAGGGACAGCCGAATATAATGCACTGTGATTTGTGTCACATGGCGACGCTTGCACGATATTTCGCCGTGAGAAAAATGCGGTTTATTAGCCATTTTATATTTGTCTGTTCTGTCGTACGCATGACCGCTATCGCAGCGCATTCACTGACGAAAACGCGATGAGTTGACAACTCTTTCCAAGCGTTGGCTTTCATTCCGTTCTGCGAAAATCAATTCGCATACTGCTTTTTTCTTCTCTTTTTTTTTCTTTTTTTCTATGCAGATGGCTAAAACAATTTACGTCAAAACCGTTATTCCACTAGGTTGCGAGCGTAAATTTTGCTCAATCGTCCACCGTACGCTGTAAGATCGTGTTGTTTTTAACGCATTACCAATGTCAAGAAATATTAATTCCGTGACTGGTCTGAGAATCTCGGAGCGCTCTGAAGCCAGCCGTTGTGATCGGCTGGAAAGGATCCCGAGTAGCTCTGGCGGCGAGGAGGGGGCGCTCTGCTGAATCGAGGTCAGAGGAGAAAGGCGACCACGCGAATTCACCATAAGAACGCGAACCACTTCACAACGGCAGCCACGAGCGAGAGTTCGATGTTCGGTAGAGCCCGCCGATACAGCCCAAAGATTGAGAACGGCAGCCTCCCGGTTTGTCGTCTGCTAGCGGAGTCGGGCGCGTGCCCTCTCTCTCGTTTTACCCCGCCGAAACCGTTGAACTTCCCGGATGTGTGGAGAGGGCGCTGCGGTCGAACAAAAATGGTGCCGCCCAGAGAGCGCTAAATGCAACGTTACTAAATCACTCAGTTGGGAAACTCCCATAGAGACAGCTTTGAAAAAGTGGCCACAATCTGTCTCCAAACACCGAGCTGATGACGAACATGACGCCACCATTTCTCCCGCAGCGGCCACTCACGGAACTGCACGTGACTCCTATTTTAGCTTAATAAGAACAGATACAGCGGAAGAGGTTACAGGGGTGCCACCCCCGTCTCCCCGGCGGACGCACCGCGTCAAACTATCGAAGTTAAAATGCACCTAGGTCTGGACGCGCTACCTGAAAGCCCCGCTGAGGCATGGTTGTTTAAAAACAATATTAATTGTGCCGCAAAACCCTGCCAACTAAAGATTTTAAAAACATAACGCGCCCCTCTTTTTGTACTAAACTCCAATAAATTTCATACAAAAAGAGTCTTTTCCGTTTGTTTTTACGCAAAAACAGGCTTTCAAAAAGCTCAAGGTGACCACAGTACAGACAAACGATAAAGAGTGGCGTTGTTGTCGCATTTAGCTCGGTCTCGGTGGACGCCAGCGGCCCAGGTTTCGACGGCGAGTTTCCCAACTGAGTGTTTTAGTAACGTTGGCTGTAGAGAGCTTCTATCCCCGCTTCGATTATGATGATAGCGCGACAGTAGTGCCACCTCTAGGTGCAGGGTCTATTGGCCAGCTGCCAGCAGATTAGATGACAAAGGAAGGCAGCCAATGTAAGCTCGAATCTATCGACAGTTTCAGTCGTCTTTGACCATGCAAGAGGATGTGTGCTTTTGTGGTTTAAGAGGAGGAAGCATGCACTTTTCCAAGAAATTGTTTATGAAGAGACACGTTTTACATAGTCGGTGTCCTAAAAGTGCTGATGAAACGGTGACGTCAGAATAATTAGTGTTAGATTAGGGAGGACACTTTATTGCTCTTGAAAGAAAATGAAACTACTAATTTTTGGATGGAAGTGAAATATTTATAGTTTAAAGCCAAAAGTAGGGAAAGTAAAAAGAAAGTGTAGCACAACGAAAAAATCTGAGTACCACTTGCAGGAAATTGGCTTACCATGTTTGCAGCCTTGCCACGCACTCTTAGTTTTGCGTTTCTGCACATCGAGGCATTTGTTAACCCTTTGACGGTCGTCGCAGATGTACGGCGGTGATTACAGATTTGAATCTGCCCGCCTAAACGCAAAACTGAGCGCACTGCGGGAGGCGTTTGCTATTTGCAATGTCTTTGGCGAACTATAAACATTACATATACGCACAGTGCTTCGCTTTGCTGGGCTATCTATAGTTTTCAAATGAGACGGTCCGTGAATGCGATGCTCACTTTGCATACCGGCCGCTCTGGCGGTAGTGCCGATGAGAGCACCGGCTCTCCCGATTCAGACTTCCAAAGCTTTCAGGAATTAAACTAAGAAGATGACAGCTCGTCATCCGACGGAGAAGCTCTGTAAAGTATTTCCAGGAATTTGAAACTTCTGGAATGTCCTGGAAGCGGACGCGCCAAAAATAAACCGAATGGAAGAAAGGTGACAACCTTTCTTCCATTCGGCAAGCACTGTATCAGACCCTTTAGTCTTAAAAAACATGTAATAATGCATGCTGTAACTTGTAGATGATTTTTTTTATTAAGATGACGGCAGGATGCTCACATGTATTAACTCTTTATTCTAAATCCCTCAGAATTGAAAGTTGAATTGCACATTATGTTACGTGGTAACCCTGTGCTCTTTATAGGACCAACGATTAGCTTTTTAAAGAGCTTATATATTGTTGAAAAAACGTAGCTACCACTTCATTAGCCACAATGGAGTGAAATTCAAACAAAATACGATCTTAGGCGAAGTTGGGTGAAAGAACTTTAGAGGAATCTCCGAAAAACCTCAGGGTGGCAGCGAACGTTCTGTAGGAGATTTTTCAGCCGAATCTTTAACGAACGCGTGAACTGCCACTCGCTTTCACGAGATCCCTTTTCAAACAACAGGCTGTGTAAGTCGTGAAGAAATACGAGGCCTGAATTTGGGAAAAAGCTTATTTTATTTATTTACTTTATTTCATTTATTTACAGAAATCCCCGCAGCGCTGAAGTATTAGAGCAGGAGAGCGAGTTTTACAATAAAAATACACAAATTTTACAATTACATACGTCAAGAACATGCACGGGTTTATACACTTCAGCACCTGCAAGCACAGAATATTTTCATCAAACAAAAATCATCCCCACTTCGGTAATTGTGCGTCGTCACACGTCAGTACGTCTCGGCACAGAAAATTAAAAAAAAGTCATTTGGTTTATTAAGTTAAAATGTGAATCACTATCAGCTGATATCCTATCTGCAGGCAGGTCGTTCTATTCTGATATATATATATATATATATTTATATTTTTTTTGGGGAGGGGGGGTAGGACTTTATATATGGTGCAACGTTTTATTTCACATATTTTTTCCCCCGGTGATCCGTCCTACTTGAAATGTAAAGGGGGGGGGGGGGGGTTTCAGATATACCGATTTATTAATCCCTTTTATATTGTTATTTATCGCATACAGTCTGCAGTCTGCTTTTCCCACAACTGTATGAGAGTGATCCTGCTCAGATACAAACTTTCATCTGGGGGACACTTTCATCCCTCGAGTAATTGTTAAGAATGAATCTTACTGCACGATATACCGCTTCTAGAATTTGGGGAGGTGTAAGCCCGAAGCCTTCTGCTGCATGAGCATCACCACTTTGGCAATGTCGTTTCTTCTCTATGGCCAACTGAAGACGCAATGATTAGAGCCCCGTCTTTCAATTGGGCTTAGGCAACCTTTAGCACATGCAACATGGCTTGACTGAGGGAGTTACCATCTAGGCCTGACCACCGTCGCTGCCCGCGTAAAGGTTGTCGGCTCTGAGGTTTTCTGAACCGGCTTCATTGGATAGTTGCACATCACCTATCCTAAGCGAGTCTGTGAAGTAGTACCTTCAAAACCATTTTGCGACTTTCGGTATTAGAAAACTTGCACATCCCTGTATACCTCCCGATAGTGGGCTCTCGGTATGCTGTTTGACAGAACTTAAGACAACCGGTCCGCGCAGCCTCAATGGTGGTAAGCGGCTTGAAACCCCATTGCCATTGCGATCCGTCAAAGGACTAACGTTGCAGTCGCATTTGGTCGGTCTTACGCAAGTGTGTCTGTGAACAGTCTTTAGACTACGAGCCTTTCCGAATACGCGTCCCGATTTCTTGGAATACTCTGGATATGTCAGTTGAGAGAGATGTATGTCAAGTTGCGCCTACAGTGTGATGCCATATACGCAATTGAGGGCAGGAGTATGCACGATAAAAATGGAACATCATAAAATGTAGCAGAGGGCGCGAATGTCACTTGTAAGTATAATTGCGACTGATTTCAGAGATCAACACATCATATCAGTAGTATCGGAAATATACAATATCTTATTTAATTGGGCATTCACTCCATCTGTTTTTTTGCTGTTACCGAAATGCATCTGGCCCATGCCCTTCATTTGTCTAACGAACTATGACTAGAACTTGGAGGATGATCTGTTGACCAGTAGGAAAGGCAGTTTGGTGGGAAAGGGGTTATATACATCACATATCTTCGACTGGAAGATAAACTTAAAAGTTGCACATGTCGTGTATCGAGTAGCTGCAAAATCCTAAATTCCGAAATGTGTCATAAAACACCTGTTTGTTGGCATCTTGATCGCACTTGAGAGGCATCGCTTAAAGTAAAACTTCAACTTTGACCTGAACAGGAGCTCCGAGCGGTTTCGCTTGGCGGAAAGTGAAATCGAGCGTTTATGACTTGTGCTAATGAAAGACTGGTTATTGCCACCCATAAATATATGCGAAGCCACAAAGACTTTCAATGCGCCGAGGGACATACAGTGCTGGAGCCAACATGGCAGCACACTGTACAGCTGGGATTATCTGATCACTAAGACCACAAAATATTGAAGCTAGTTAGGGGCCGGAGGAAATATTCTCTGAGCTTGCTGATGGCCGCAACGTCACAGAGTGGGCTGTTGGCTGACTGTTAACGTATAGTGGGACTAGTAGCTCACAACCATGAGTTGCATTTTGGTTCGAATAACGTTTTGAACTTTGTCAGCCTCCCTGTCGCTGGTGAAGTTCGACTTCATGGTCGCATCACAGAAGCATTTCCTTCAGAGGTTGTGGTAGGTGACCCAGGTGGCTGAGATAGCCCCACAGGCGCTGAGTACAGCAGCACCGTACATGATGGCTGTGGCCGAGCCTCCCGCCAGGCCCACCAGCGGCCCGGCGCCTAGAGAGAGGAGCAGCTGTGCCGGGAACATCATGCTGCTCACGATGGCCACGTCCGTGCCCAGGCCACGTTGGGACCAGTCCGCTGACCGCTCCATCTGCAACGAACAAGACACTTTGTGGGTGCATGGAGTACATAGTCCACTGACTGGCAGTATGGCAGACAAACGTGTACTGTTTCTGAAGACACCAGCATACAGTTTTGAGCTACCTTGCTCAAGAATTCTAATGGTGCATTTGGGGCGGCTCCAAAAGTGCGCCCCATACTCGCACCTTTAGAGCAGTAAATGCTAGCATGCGCTTGCACGCGCAAGAACAAAGGAATGCCTTAAAATCACCCAAAAGTTCAAATCCACCAGAGCAATTTCTCGTAAGCTTAGGTAGCTCTGGGCCTTACGCGCACGCTTTTATAACTTTAGGTGTAACTATGTGCTAAATTAAAAAGAAGAAGAAAAAAAAAGTTTCGAGGACAACTAAGCACTTTTTTATGAGTTGTGAATTGGGAAGCACCAATGTCGTTCTTCTGCTCCCTTGGTTCGTCTGCGGTGTACTGGCGTGGACGGCCACGTTTCGCTACTGCCGAGGTTGCGGCCGCCGATGATATAGATGCCTCAGGCGCCGCCATGTTCCTCAGCGCCGACAGTAGCAGGAGCGGCCGCAGCCCCTCACCCCCCTCCAGCCACGCCTGCCACGAGAGCGGCGGCCGAGCGCGCTCTCTCGTGAAGCGGCCGCCAATGGCTATCCAGGAGCCGCTTTGCTCAGCCAATGGGAGAATGGGCATTTCTTTCGCGTTTTTTTGCGGTTACAAACGCCGCCGGCTCCGCTCCATGGGATAGTTAAGGATCTCACATTAACACGTGTGTGGTCGCTTTTCTGCAGAGTAGGCACGCTGCCAGTCACTTTAAAAATTAAGCAACGGAAGGATTCCAGTGAAAACAATGCTCGGAATACTTGTTCATTGTCCCTGCAAACATATCACTTTTTTTTAACTCTTATTCTGAACTACACTGTATTCTGAACATCGTCATTCGCTGGGATCATTTCGTTGTTCACAGTGGTTGAAGCCCTGCCCATTCTGTGGGAAAGGAAATACGCAGGCTTTCCAAGAGCGTGCTTTTCACTTTTGTTACTTCCTGCATGTTCTGCAGAAAAGCTAATGCGCCGGCCTTTTAGAACTGTTTTTTTTTTTATATTAAGGCATTAAAATCCTGACACTGACCCTTCACTATTGCGGAAATCCCGGAAATTTTGAAAAACATTGAGTGACCTTTATCTTCAACGTCCAGTAATGCTTGAAATGCAGCATTTAGGAACGATCGTTTCAAATGTTTGGAAGACACTGAACAGTCATTTCGGGAGTGAAGAACCTATATTTTTATGCATTTTTAAAAAACTAAATAGGTGTATCATGTGAAAAGGGAGGGGGAAGGGAGGCACTGACGGAGGGTGAGGGGCAGATGGAGGGAGAGGGAAGAAAAGGGGAAGGGGCACTGTAGGAGGGCGAGGGGAATAATTGGGAAAGGGGAGGAGAAAAGAATGGGGAGAGGATATTGGTGTGTCATGTGACGTAAATATCCCCGCTAAATTTAGCAGGGGAACTGAATAGGTATGTCGCCTGACGAGAGAAAGGGCAGAGAAGGGGGGCACCATAGAATAGTGGGCGAGTGATGGGGAGAGGGAGCTCAGGGAATCGGAGCGAGGGGAAGGAAGGCAGATGGTGAGGGCATCCCAGGAGGGAGGGGTGGGTGGAGAAAGGGAGGGGGAGCCAGGAGAAAGATGGGAAAAGGGAAATAGTGTGTTTTAGGTTTCCCTGCTAAATTTAGCGGAGAAGTGAAATTGTTGGATAGGTCACGTGACGTCGATTTCCCCTTCTAAGTTTAGCGGGCAAACTGGATTCGTGTTTAGGTCACCTGACGTAAATTGTTCTGCTATATCTATTGGGGAAACTGTTTCGGTATAGAGGTCACGTGACGTCAATTTCCCCGCGCTAGATTTATCGGAAAAAGCTCGGACGGATTAATTTGATTTAAATAACTAGCTACAATATAATGACTTTTATCACTACATGTAATTTTAAGCTTGGCAGAATAATTGATCAATCCGTCCAATCATTGATCACAATGCGGAAGAAAGAATTACTGTAAATGTAAAGTTCAGTTTATTTAACAACTTTTTTATCGCTCTAATTATATAACAAAAACAGCAATTTCTTTTTAGTTCAAAACTTCTTTTTTTTTTTTCTTTTTCTAGTTCTACCTTTATTGCGAAAGAACGCCACTTTTCTAGCTTTCATTTCTTTTGAGATCTGATTTTGTTGCAATAGGACATTACGTAGCTGACGAACGATCTGGAAGGTAGAAATCGAGATCAACGCTCCGATTTGCTCAAAAGAGCACTTCTTTCTCCTCGTGTTTAGCCTGTGTCCTCTGTTTTGTTTTCTATGTCCCTGTTTCGTTATCGTCATCTTTCTTGCTTGATGATTTTTTGATCGAAAAGCATCGAATGATAAACAAACGGTAAATAAATTGATATTTTTTAACTAGTTTAGCGGGAAATGTTTTATGAAATTATCCTAGTAAAACTGGTCTGATTTAAATCACTATTGAAATCCCAAAATACATAATCTGAATTTTTTTTCTCCACCGGAGATCCGGCTTTGAAAAAGCTTCAAAAAAGAACCCTAATTTAGGGAGTTATATCTTCTTTCCCAATAAAATAATGCAACATGTTTTTAATATAAATGAATGCCGAAATACCGTATAACAGCTAGGGTGCCAAAACTTAAGAAAAATCGAAGGTGGTGTGTTTTTTTTATTCGCATCGGAATTTTTGTTGTTTTATTTTTTCCCATGTTTGCCTAAATGTATCACGACTATCGTATCACGCAGATACCTAATATATATTTTAAATAATAGCCATATATAAGTGGAATACTGTCTGAAAAGTATATGATAATGATTAAATTATTTCTTGAGATACGGGCCTCCAAACTTTGCCATTTGTTGTTCGAGCAAGCAGGTTTGGCAATTTTTGGAAAAATAAATATAATTTAAATAAATATTAATATGTATTACAAGCAAGCTGTATCCATAGTTTGTTTCTAAAAAGTATTAGAATTTTCCTAATTTTATCGTGCCCCTCCATCAGTGAGCGTTTATGCAACTGTCCACCTCTTCATGACCTACAAATTTTCCTGTCACCAATTATTGTTTTTTCTGGTCAAAACTAAGTTTGGATTTGCTTGTACCAGACACTCGACAATCTCATATAAAAACATCAATTGATTTAAAAATCTCTACCAGCCACCCTTTGGTCGATCTTATCTGAAATCACGCAATAATCCTAAAAAAAAAAGAGAAAAAACTGCCATGATTTTTTTGTCTGTTGAGCTTAGTGATTTGTGCGACGGGTCAAGGATGGTGTGCTTGTTCTCGATCTATTGAAAACTGCCAGTACGTTAGGCTTTTAAATTTTATAACATCAGGCGTGGTCTCAAAGTAGTCATATATGCAAATGAAAGCTAAAGATGGTAGAGCGGTGAGCTTACAAAAACTAAAAAGCACAAGCACTAGAAAATCTCTGGGTTGTTACTGGGTCAGTCGTCGTTTTAAGCGTCAAACAACACTGCTGTTTGTCTATACTTTGTCGTGATCGAGATAAAATTGATTGAACTACGTAGCTAGGTTTATTCTAGCCTAGGCTGCATAGCAATACAGGTGTAAGTCGTGCCGTGTCTGGTCGCGATCTGGTGGAGAGAGGGTCCGCACTCGGATCAGCAGGCAGAGTCCAGGGTCACCCGGCGGCGATGGCGATGATGATGATGTGCTCCCGACATACTTTTGTCCCAAAATAGCGAAACATTGCCCCGAAAGGACGAACGCCAACGGAGGGGGAGGGGCCTTTCCTTTGGCTCTTGTCCTTTTGGGGTGGGAAATCTAAGAAAATGGATGAACCCGAAAGTCAGTGACCTCGCCCATTACCCCCCCCCCCCCCCCCGGCTCGGAACTTTCAAGGGGTGGGGGGGGGGGGGGGGGGCGCGGCCCCTTTGGTCCCCCCCCTGTGTACGCCACCGATGTGTACCCACCATGTGCGAGCTGTGGTAGTGTGCCACCAGGATGAAGGGCATGGTGAACTGGGTGGCGTACATGAGGCCCGCGGTGGGCGACAGCAGCAGCACGGCCACCCTGGTGCGACTCAGGGCGATGAGCGCCACTCCTGCCGTGTACGCCAGCTGGCCCCACACGTACACTCGCTTGGCGCCTGCACCGATCACACCATTGACCGTAATAGAGAAGCGGGCTGACGATTCCTTTTTATGCTCATCAAATGGAAAACAGTTTTTAGACACTTGTTTTTTTCAAATATAAGCCAAACACAATGGTAAAAACTTCAAGTGAATATGCACTATTCTAATATGTTTACAAATCCACAGCCCAGCGTGCGATCTCCACAGCTAAGCACACGCGTGTGCGTCGCTCCGGAAAACGAGCAAAGCACGCGCCATTCGCACGAACCCTGGAAATGGCACTGGCCAGAAGCACATTTCTGGAATTGTCTATAAACCCCTTTTGAAAGTGTGTTCCATGTCGGAAGCTGTGGAGTGCCTCTACAATACGGATACAGGGGCACCGCCGAAGTTGGAACGGTATAAATACTACAAATTCTGCTTCATGGCCAGCTTATATAGGGTTGGCTTTGCACTTCTTGCGGTCTCGTTTGTTCCGTCATTCAGACCTTCTAACAATCGACGCGTGACTTTCGAAAAGGGTCTACTATATATGCTAATGCCAGTTCGTTCTACTTATCGATGCCGGAAAAGTATAACATGCCATCCCGTTCGCAACAAGCGTGGTGACCGATGGTGACCAGCATTACCCTTGTCGCAATGGCTCGCTAGCAGTACGCCCCAAAAGCGTCAGAAACATCAGAAGAGTCGGGTATAAAAATACTTTGCGGATGTCTCGACTATGTACCGAAGCAGGCGATAACGAGGCTCTATAGTATGTTTTGGTTAAACCGCGATATAGCTCACATATAGTGACTTTAATCGGGGTACGCGCCGCTTTCTGTAGTTTGGAAAAGCGAATGCAGATGTCCGCTATTCGCGACTCCAAGAAAACAGACGGCACCTTGCGGGAAAACACTGAACTGGTCAGAACAGATCCCTTCGCACTTTTATCTTTTGTTGCTTCCTTGTTTACATATTGTCGGCGGCTGGCGCGGTGGCCGCCGAAGAAAAGTAAGGAAAGTTAGGTAGGTTGTGTCCAGAGCAGACTTGTGCCCGTTACTTGGAAAATGTAATGGATTACAATTACAAATTACTGAGCCCTAAATGTAATGGATTACAGTTACAAATTACTGTCGCTAAAAAGTAACGGATTATTTTACTCGTTACGTTACAAGTTACTTTCACGTTACTTTTCCCTACGCTTATCCAGAAAACAATAGGAACATGTTTTCAAAAATGTTCTGCAACTCATACTTTCCATTTCTCATACGCCCCCGTTATGGTAATCCTTGTGAAAATAAAATATTGTATTGAAGAGAAATAATGTAGGAGCACCTGTGAGCTGACAAGGCAGCGAAAGCTACAACCGTACCCGCCAGCTTACTGCGACCGGAAATGATCCCTGGAATTCCGCAGACAAAGCGAGCGGCGCACGCATGCTCAGTAGCAGCATCTACCTCTGCTAAGAGATTCGCGGAGGTAAGGAACCGATCTGCGAAAGCTCCCTTTTGAAATGGGCCTTTCAAGCCTGAGCGCAACGTCTCAAACCTGCGATCTCGTGACTCTAGCTTTGACGCACTGTGAGCTTACGCAAGAACATAGAGTATATAGTTGCACGCAGCACTGAAAAATGCATGGGCCGAGCGCTCGTTTTCCAGCTTTGTTCGAACGGATGGTCGCACACTCATATTGCACCAGTTTCTCTATTAAGTTTTTTTTAAAGTAACGAGTAATTAAAGTAATCCGTTACCAATATTTTCTAAGGAAATTACATTACAAATTACTGCGGCAAAAAAAGTAACGTTGCAATTACAAAATTACTTGAAAAAGTAACGGATTACAAATAATCCGTCACTTGTTACGGATTACTTCCCATGTCTGGTCAAGAGCAACAAACACGGCAGCAATGACAGGGCCGAAGGCAAAACTATGACTTATAATGGCCCAAGGAATTAAGGGCACCTTGCATTGCTTCTCATGTTGTGTAGGGCGATCAGTTGTCATTGTAGCTCTGTCGTCCGTCGTATCAGCGTGTTGCATAGGTCGCTCGGAACGCAACCGCGTGAACCAAATAGTGCGCCTTTATCAACATTCATCCGAGGATATTAGTAGGTTGTCCTATGGTCGCTTGCCCGAAAAAGGCCGAGCCTCTGGAAGCCCACTCTACGCCAACGCACTGCAGCAGGTTTGGAACAGCTGACACATGGCATGGCACGGCCTGTAGTCGACCGCGATGTTTGTCTAAGAGTGTCGACTCCTATAGGTCGCTGCTGTCGCGAATTCACACCGGAATAGTGTTCTGATTGGTCTTCTCTTTAATATTGAACAGTCCTATACTGGCAGAGAATAGGACTCTTTTGTGCTGATTCTGACACAGAACAAACAGAAAACAATAACCGAACTGCGAAAAATGCAACTCCATAGAAACCATCAACCATGCCCTTCTCGAGTGTGCTTCATTGGGTACTGAAAAGTGCCTTCTAAAAGACACACTGACGATATTTGGCGACTGACCATTTAGCCTGGAAAAAGTCCTTGGGTTATGGTCATTAAGAACCAATGCTGCGCAGACTTTAAGGGCTCTCCTTGTTTTTAGAGCGCAGCTCTTAGGGGCCCTTTTCCGGCTTGAGCGGCGTCGGCGTCGCCGTCGCCGTCGCCGTCGGCGTAACCGCGCGGTGCATTATGAGTAAATTTCCCCGCTAAATCTAGCGGAAAAATTTCTCCGCTAAATTTAGCGGAAAAATTTCTCCGCAAAATCTAGCGGGATAAATGCCCCGTTAAATCTAGCGGATAAATTAATCCGCTAAATCTAGCGGAAAAATTTCCCCGCTAAATCTAGCGGAAAAAATTCCGGGCTAAATCTAGCGGAAAAATTTCCTCGCTAGATTTAGCGGAAAAAATTCTCCGCTGTCTAGCGGAAAAATTTTCCCGTTAAACCTAGCGGAAAAATTTCCCCGCTAAATCTAGCGGAAAAAATTCCCCGCTAGATTTAGCGGAAAAAATTTCCCGCTAATTCCCCGCTAAATTTAACGGAAAAAATTCTCCGCTATATCTAGTGGAAAAATCTAGCGGGAAAAATCCCCCCTCTAAATCTAGCGGAAAAATTTCCCCGCTAAATCTAGCGGAAAAATTTCTCCGCTAAATTTAGCGGAAAAATTTCTCCGCTAGCAGGAAAAATGCCCGGCTAAATCTAGCAGAAAAATTAACCCGCGAAATCTAGCGGAAAAATTTCCCCGCTAAATCTAGCGGAAAAAATTCCCCGCTAAATATAGCGGAAAAATTTCCCCGCTAGATTTAGCGGAAAAAATTCCCCGCTGTCTAGCGGAAAAATTTTCCCGTTAAACCTAACGGAAAAATTTCCCCGCTAAATCTAGCGAAAAAAATTTTTCCGCTAGACAGCGGGGAATTTTTTCCGCTAAATCTAGCGGAAAAATTTCCCCGCTAAATCTAGCGGGAAAAATTCCCCGCTAAATGTAGCGGAAAAATTTCCGCGCTAAATCTAGCGGAAAAATTTCTCCGCTAAATCTAGCGGAAAAATTTCTCCGCTAAATTTAGCGGAAAAATTTCTCCGCAAAATCTAGCGGGATAAATGCCCCGTTAAATCTAGCGGATAAATTAATCCGCTAAATCTAGCGGAAAAATTTCCCCGCTAAATCTAGCGGAAAAAATTCCGGGCTAAATCTAGCGGAAAAATTTCCCCGCTAGATTTAGCGGAAAAAATTCCCCGCTAAATCTAGCGGAAGAATTTCGCTAAATTTAGTGGAAAAATTTCTCCGCTAAATCTAGTGGGAAAAATGCCCCGCTAAATCTAGCGGAAAAATTAACCCGCTAAATCTAGCGGAAAAATTTCCCCGCGGGGTCACGTGACCCCCCAAGGTCACATGACCCCCCCCCCCCCCCCCGCATCGAGAACAGGTAACCCTCAGTACCCTTCCCTTTTCCTCCTCAAGAGCTGCGCTCCAATTCGGTGTTACAGGGAGTTGTAAACGGCTTTCATTTTTTTTTCTTTCCTCACAAGTGTTAAAATCTCCAGAAATGTGTGCCATCGTATGCTTGCGCCATCTCTTAGCGGGTTACGGCAGCGCTCCCATAGAAGCCCATGTATTTAATATGCAAAGTGGCTATAACTTCGAAACGTTACGTTTCAAACAATTCGCCATGCTACTACTCCATTATATTATGTACCGTTATTCTTGTGCCAAAATGTCAACTTGAAAATAAACGTTCGGCAGCCCTCTGCCGAGCGTTTATGTCAAATGTCAAGATGATGGGGTGTAAACGGCAGGTTCCTCAGTCGAACAAACTTTTTTGATGTATATTACCGCTACGAAAAATATGCAATTTAATCGAAGTCTACAGTTAATTTTTTTAGTAAACAACTCGTTTGATTGTATAAATTAAATAGGATCCCACCCCAATATTTTGGGCGATTCTGTAGTGTCTAAGGTATAGTTATTATAATGCACGCTAGAGGTTCAACTGGCGCTATACTCCGCGACAACTTTTCTTGGTAATGCAGTGGAAAATACAGGCCCGCGTCCCCTCTCCCATTTTGAGTGTGCGCGGGCTCTCCTCCTCTCCCCGGAAATGGGGGAGGAGGAGAACCTGCGTACACTCAAAATGGGGGAGGGGACGCGGGCCTGTACCTTCCACTGCACTGCCAAGAAAAGTTGTCGCGGAGTATAGTGTGCTGTTGCAAATTGAAGCAGACAGCAAACGGTTCGAAATTGACTTCCGGTAATGCAGTTCTACGGAAAAAGCGAGTGCATTTCCTCTGCACTCGATTATAAGAGCAAATATCACGAATAATTCGTACCTACTAGGCACATTGGAACATTTCCCAGACACGCAGATGAAATGATTGCTCAGTTACGGCGTTTTTATTTTAAAATCGGGGCGTGAAAACGGTGCTAAAACCGCTTCGTACATGTATTTATGTGCGCTGTCGGACACTGTTAGCGCGAACACGGCGTCAGCGCTTTCCAGCATGGGGGATATACGTGCCAAACGAACGAAGGACATGTGGAAAACC